TACCGTACGTAGCTATCGCCTAAAGTGATAGCTACCGACTTCAGCCGAATCGAACGCTCGGCCATTATGCCTGCCTGCATCTGGACCGAAAGTTGCACGAAATAGGGCGATGATGACCGGGCGTTTTATTCGGCGGGTGAAGACAGTAGGAGTGGTTCATTCTGTGATGCTTGGTCATGTGTGCAATCGCCGTTCTGAGAGCCTACGCCGCAGTGCAGAGGCCTGTCAAAGATGATCAAACATTAAAAAAATAAAAAAAATAAAAATCCCAAAATAGAGGCCAGTCAAAGATTATGATGTTTTCACTAAATTATTTTTTTTTTAATTAAAGAAATCCAGTACTGCCGTCCCTATCTTCCCCTCGTTGTGATCTACTATCTCTACACAAAGGAGAATGAGAAAGAGAAAAACAAAAAAGAAAAGAGAGAGGGGGGGGGGGGGAGAAATAACAGAAAAAAAGAGAAAAACGAAAAAAATGGAAAAAAAAGAGAAAAGAGAGAAAAAAGAGAGGAAAAAAGGTCATACGGGTCGTCCTGAAAGACATCCGTTAAAAAACAAAAACAAATAAAACATTGGAACGATAACAGAGAGAGAAGATTTTAACATGGCCCCTGCGCAGGTCGTCAAAAGACAGGGAAAAACGGGAAAAAAAAAAAAGGGGGAGGGGATAAAAATAAATTAAAAAGAAAAGAGGCGGCGAGGGGAGGAGAAGGAGCCGTACAAGATCCCAACAACTTCCCTTACTATCCCGACAGCAACGGACTCTTTTTTTTTTTTTGGTTTTTTCCCATCCCAAATTAATCAAAACCCAAACAAAAACGAAACGAAACGAGACTAGGTAGGCGGAACAACGGTAAGCCCTTTGCTCATAACAAGCTACTAATAAACTGGGCCGGATGCTGTGGCAGGATTAACACCGGGGGTTGAATTGTGTGGTCTCCACCCTCGCCCTGCCCTCGTTAAAAGGAATGTTGTTGAGTAGGGAAAAAAAAAAAAAAAAAAAAAAAGACAGACCAAAACGAAGCAAACCAAAGACGAACGGTCGGGATATAGGAAGCAGTCGGGACCCAGCGCGCAAAAAAAAAAAAACAAAACGAAGCAAACCAAAGACGAACGGTCGGGATATAGCAAGCAGTCGGGACCCGGCGCGCAATGAAAAAAAAAAAAAAAAAAAAACCGAAACGAAGCAAACCAAAGACGAACGATCGGGATATAGCAAGCAGTCGGGACGCGGCGCGCAATGATAAACGGCATCCATACCCGTATCTTTCGCCCATGATCCGCTCCGGCGACATGTAGGTCTGTGTCCCGACAAAGGAGTCGCACATGGCTACAGAGTTTGCCAGCACGGCAGAGACTCCGAAATCGGCTATCTTCACATCCCCGTCGGTGTTCACAAGTAGATTAGAAGGCTTGATATCCCGATGGATGACGTGGCGCTCCTTGTTGAGATAGACCAAGCCTTGGAGTACTTGCTTGGCTATGGCGGCGATGTACGGCTCTGAGATCCTGCCGTTCGATTTGATCAGATCTGCTAATGTACCCCCATCCATGTATTCAAGCACGATGGAGATCACGCCGTCACTGCAAGAAGCGTTGAAGCACCTGACGACGAGAGGGGAATCGACGGTGAGGAGAATGTCGAGTTCGCGCATGATTTGCGTGCGAGCGGATTGCTCGTGCGGGCCGCTTAATTGGATGAGCTTGAGAGCATAGAAATCGCCGGACCGTCGATGCCTCACTTTTCGAACGACGCCGCTGTTTCCCCTGCCCAAAATGGAAAGACTCTCCAGATCGTGAACAGATACAGCTCCCCTTCCCGCCTTGTACGTGCCACCTTGCAACGACGAGATGAAAGTCGAGAATTGCGCATCTGAGGGATCCGCAGGAACCGTCAAAGGGGACAAAGACAGCTGTATCCCCTTATTCCTCATCTTCTCTCTCTCTCTCTCTCTCTCTCTCTCTCTCTCTCTCTCTCTCTCTCTCTCTCTCTCTCTAGCGAGCGAGCGAGCGAGCGTTGTGTGTGTGTGTGTGTGTGTGTATGTGTTTCGATTGATTTATTGATTGATTGATCGCTCAGTCGTGAGCTTCTCAAATCGAACACAGATTGCAGCGATTGATTGATTTTCGCAGTCGTCTCTTAAAATCTATCCGTCTACCTTTCGATTCCCTCCCCTTCCCTTGTGTCCGCGTTTTTTGACGTTGGACCTGCCTCCCTTTTATTGATTTGATTGATTGATGGGAGACGATGGCAGCCGCCACCGTGTCGCGTCCTCTGTCCTCCACATACAGATAGACACACCCAAGACCAAAAGACGGCCTACTGACTCCGGCCCGGTCAATTACAGCCCCTCGATCGCCACGTGTCATGCGAGGTGTGCCTACCTTCCGCTCTCACTCGAAGCCTACCTCCTGCCAATTTTTTTATTTTTTATTTTTTATTTTTTTTCGCTCTCCCTCAAAGCCTAAGTTTCCTCCCCACCAGTTTCTTCGCTCTCCCTCAAAGCCCTCAAAGCCCACCTCCCGCCAGTTTCTTCGCAGCCCTCAAAGCCCTCAGAGCCCACCTCCCTCCAGTTTCTAGGCAGCCCTCAAAGCCTTCAAAAAAGCCCTCAAAGCCCTCAAAGCAGCCCTCAAAGCCCTCAAAAAAGCCCTCAAAGCCCTCGAGAAAGCCCTCAAAGCCCTCAAAGCCCACCTCCCGCCAGTTTCTTCGCAGCCCTCAAAGCCCTCAAAGCCCTAAAAGCCCACCTCCCGCCAGTTTCTTCGCAGCCCTCAAAGCCCTCAGAGCCCTCAAAGCCCACCTCCCGCCAGTTTTTTCGCAGCCCTCAAAGCCCTCAAAGCCCACCTCCCGCCAGTTTTTTCGCAGCCCTCAAAGCCCTCAAAGCCCACCTCCCGCCAGTTTTTTCGGCCCGTAACGGTGTCTACTTACGGTTCGTTGAACTTCGGCGAGGTCGTACGCATGTGCGAAGGCGGAAGAGAGCAAGCGAGCGACGGAGAAGCACAACTGAAGCAATCTGAGCTACGTCGCAGGGTTTTATAGAAGTGCGCGGGAGAGAGAGAGAGAGTAACAGAGACAGCTTCGAGAGAGAAAAGAACCGACGCGAACTGTGAGAAGTTTTCGTAGGATTGCATAGACAGTTGAACAGACCGACGGGTTGGTTGGTTGCTTGTTTTTTTTTTTTTTTT